GCAATCCGTGCATCGTGCAAGACTTCGAGAATACCCCTATTGTATATCATCCATTGGACAACGCATTTGCAACGCAGGCCGATCTATGCAACCTACTTAGTAGAGTACACCGAACGCCTTTTTAGCTTGCTGTTCGGTATTAAGTTTCTATTTTATCGAAGTATGTTTAGCGGCGGATGAAAAGAGAACACATGCATTTAGAGCGGTGATGCTCAAAACAGCGCCCGCGGGCGGAACTCTTCAAAGTTCTCTGTAGTTTTTATATGGACCTGTACAGAGTAAAAGCTCTCTCTCTGCGCATCACAGACTTAGAGAATAAATGCTGAGATTCTGAATTTTATTCTCTGAGGTGAAGTAAATGTAAATAATACTTCATGACTTCAGCTACCTCAGCTCCCTTCTGTAGAATTTCACAAATTAGGACACCCTTATTTTCTGGTAAAATGTTTGAGTTGTATTCGGGACTGCTTCTCAAAGTCTTTCCACGTACCTATTTCTACCTTTCCCAAACCTTCGTTTCAATCGGGCGACAGTGAGTCGTTCCTCTAAGCAGGATTGAGAGCCGGTGTGACTCACATCCATATGTATGTATGTATGTATGTATATTCGAGGTCAAACTTTCATCGCGATATTCTACAATTCGAAAACGTATTCGATAGTCCACAAATCTTCATGCGGATGTCGCAGTGACCTGGACCCAGCACAGAGTTACAATGTTTCTCGATGACAAGATTTCAAAAATGCCAAAACACTTCTTAAAGACCAAATCCAAACTTTGAAGCAGATTAAACGCTTGAAACAAAGCGCACATTTATTTATTAAAGCAAGTGATAATTGGCGATATTCTCGTAGATACATTTACATAACAATAAAGCACACAACTTCGAATAGAATAAACATTGAAAAGTGTATCTGCAGCTGCTTATCGAACTGCTTGTGGCGAGCCAATTATCGTCAAACGACCGGCTTGTTGCGGGCATCCACCAGAGAGCGAATCATCAGACATTTAGCGATGGCGTACGTACGCTTACAAGCACAAGTTTCGCGTGCTGAAATGAAAGTATTCAATTGTTTTTTAGAGAATAGGCGCAATAACAAAATATTGGTAACTTCAATGTGTTCAGCTTACATCCTTCATTTTGACAGACTGGAATCGAATCTCCGGTTGCTGGCCACATTGTTTGCATGATCAGTGCACGATTCAATTGCCAATTTCGCATAAGTCCAGTTTTCTCCATGTAAC